CCCCAAAACCCCAAAACCCCAAAACCCCAAAACCCCACTTTGGCACATCCAAGATGAAAATCCAATTAGAATTAATATTTATGGAAGAGACAAGGTAAGCAAGGAACTTTATCAGTAGTTGGTGGAAAGGCATCAGTCCTGAGAAAACTCAAGCTGCAGAAGACGCAGTTGTATGATATTAGGGTCTGATATTTAGGTTGCGATATCTGGAATCGATCCAGAAGATTTTAAGAGTTACCCAGTAGAGATTGACTTTGGAGAGAAAGATTATATCCAAGATCACGATGAAATTCCTGATGAAAATCTGATTCCTGACCAAAATGTAAGAAATTGCAAAAATATATGAGTTTGATCTGGCTCTTAGATGGTCAGTTGCTAATCAGCAAGAGGAGTAGATATAACATTCTTTCTCAAATCTGATCGACCTTTTAAGTGATAATTCACAAATTTAGGTGATCTGGACTTATGAAATTGGAGAGTCCCCCTCTGATAAGCCAAAGCTACTGTTAGTCCATGGCTTCGGAGCTTGCTCAATGTTTTACTTCAAGACATGGAAGCGCCTCACTGAAAATTTTCATATAATATGAATCGATTTACTAGGATTTGGTAAATAGTTAACTTATTGTTTAGGAAGGTCTTCCAGACCTAAGTTCAAGTGTAAAACCTCTGAAGAAGCTGAAGACTTCTTCGTTTTGTCCATAGAGAAATGGAGAGAACAAATGCAGCTTGATTCATTCAGCATTTGTTGTCACAGCTTCGGAGGATACGTAATGGGGAGATATGCTCTGAGGTTTAGTGATAATATCAAAAAAATTATTTTTCTGTCGTCATTAGGAGTAGACCATGTGCCTGAAGATATCGATCAGGGCCTTGAAAATTTCCATTGAACTCTAAGGTTTGCTAAACGAGCAGTTTTCAGGTTACAAAAGTATTTACCCAGATTCATCCAAACAATCAATCCCTATTCACCTCTGAGAGTTCTTGGTCGAATGTCTGGTGTATTTTTGAAACGAGAGACTCGGATGAACATGAAGAAGATGCCAGAAGAAGAATTTGAAATTATCTATCGCTACCTTTATCAAGTGACTCTAAAGCCAGCCAGTGCTGAAAGCGCCATCCACGTGTTGTTCACCAGGAACTTCATCCCCAAACACCCTCTCATCGAAGCCATCGACGCCCCTGATGGCTTCAAAGCCAGAGGCATCGACACGTGTTTCATTTACGGAGACTCCGACTGGCTGGACATGAACATGAACGGGCCCAAGGTCAGTGCAGTCTTGGCAGAAGAAGGCCACAACGTGCATGTGCTCGAAGACTCCGACCACCACTTGTTCTTCGACAATGTGGAGGGGCTGCTCAAGATCATCGAGGCGCAGTTCAAAGAAGAGTAACCTCAGTTTACCCAATTCAGGCAAGAAGGCCGTTCAAGGGGTTTTGGGGTTTTGGGGTTTTGGGGTTTTGGGG